TATACAGAAGAACAAATCGTAATTCCCTATACATCCATTGGTCTATTCATGTTGCTTCGGAAATTAATCTACGAAATTCTCCACATGCATAACCCTTGCCATCATCCGCACATTCTTGATGGCTTTATATCCTAAAGGCTAAAAGGAAAGCAAACTAAATTAATTGAACAAACCATAGATTATAAAATACCACTTTTCTTCATCGGCATAGGCATGATCGAAACATTCATTCACAACATGAGATCCAAGTAATATACAGGGTCGGCCTTGAGAATTTATGGGCCACAAAAAAAAAAAATTGGGCCGATAATTATTGATGTATGGAAAGGAAAAAAAAATAAACTTAATGTTTAAAAAGCTAATTAAACCCTCCACCGTTTTTTTTTTCCATGTAGCCCATGAACCAATTGAACTAAAAAAATTTTATGCATATTTATGGGCCGATAATATATATAAACAAAATATCAAAAAATTTAGACCGTAACACGGGTTTGGTCTGCTTGCCCTTAGGGCTGACCCTGGGAATATATTACACAAGGAACCGACCTTTTACAGCGCGAGTTTCCAATGTAATGGCGTTTGAATTTTCTCTAGAGAGAGTATGAATCTCCATCATTAATTTATTTTAAGTGAAAGAGTAATCATCCAACCTCGATTTCAACACAACTTCAAATGATTTTTTAACTAAGGTTTTAGAAAAAAGCGATTATGCTCAAAGAAAAAGAGTAAGAAGTGTATGATATTAGGAGAGTTTGATTTCCCAATGTACTAACCAGCCAATATTTTCATGTCCATTGCTAAACCTGGACAAAAAATGAACAATGCTAGTAAAATTTTTGAGTCTCTACAACTATGAGAAGCATAAAATAACGATTTACATAGATTTCATGGTTCTTAAAAGAATGAATGAACACTCATGATTTTTAAAAACGTAATTTTTTAAATATGGAGTAACCTCGTAAATTGGTAGAAATGACGTTTTTACGAGGAGATACCAAACTTAATCTCTAAATAAGGATTGGGTTTCTTAATTCACAGATACCTTAAGGATAGATATGAATAGAACCTACCTTAAAAGCCAAGTTACACAATTAGATGAAACAAGCAACCTTTAAATCATTTTGACCAAAAAAAAAAAAAAACAACCTTTAAAACATTGTATCAAATTGACATTTTTAATAAGGCCTTCAAGCTTTGTTTAGGCTTTAAGATTGTGAAATTCGGAGAGAATGTTGAAGATCTTTATTCATGTCTATTGACAAAGATGATTACAAGGATATATAGCACATAGGCTTTCTGAAACTACATCAATTACAATTGATTTACAATCTAAAATTAAGGAAAGTGAATGAAATAGGATTGTGATAGATGAGATATTATTTGATATGAATTGATATCCCATTA